CCAGAGGACAAATAGCATGGATACAATGTAAGATGGGAAATGAGACTTTATCTTCCCTCTTTTTGCTCTTCTTGCTTTTATAATTCTCCATCATCATGAACAGTTACCTGTATTCTACGCCACAGTTTCTTGGAGCCAGCTGAGTATGTTCCAAAACTTCTACAAACTGTGAGCTAAACAAATCTTTCCTTCCTTAATTTTGAACATTGGGTATTTTGTCTCAGCAATGAGATGAAAGTACCAGAGACAATCCTATGCCTTCATACCCAGCATGTGGAATAAGTTTTTGTGAGAGGTGAGCTCCAAATGACCTGTGCAGCCCTGCTAGTATGGCGCTGACTTATGCAGCCCACTTTCATCCTCTTCAGCTGGACCTTTTCTCTGTGTACAGCTTTCCTCAGATGTTCTGTGTTCCCAGAATCTCCAGGTTCCTGGATAATGCACTATAACTTTGACCTTAATCTCACAGCTTCACACAGTTCCCTCACACTGATCCCTGTCCTCCTCAGTCTTTTTCTAAAATCTATGGGGAAGTCTCCTTAACTCCACCTTTCTGGCATTCTTCAAGTCATTCAAACCTGCACCATGTCAACAATGCCAGATTCTGATGCCACTGGATCACTAGTCAGGCCCCCTTGCATCATGGCTGCAGAGGCCTAGATGGCTGAACTTGGGAACACACGTACCTAGGTAGCCCTGATTGAGCACACATTCCAGGGACTATCCTCTTAAATGAAAGATTTATGCTGTTGTATCTTTGATACTGCAGTGGGCAGGATCTTGCTGATTTCTGAAGCATCTTCATGGCCTCTTTCTTCTTGTCGCTGTACAAAGTTCTTGAGTTCTTTTAATGTTAATCTGTTCAGCAACATCTTACTCTTTGCCCCCACTTTGCAGGTTCTCCTTTTCTGGCATAATGGCAAATATTTCAAAGCATTCTGCTCTGCTGTTTGGCTTTAATTCCTACCACAGGTCTGGCTAAAGGCAGCCATCAATATCCATGCCTGAATATTGGGCTGTATTTGTCAATTTGATCACGCCACAGCTTTTATTATTAGTTACCTGCAAAGTCTCACCACAAGCTCAAAATAGAGACAAATTTTCTATATATGGATCCTTTTCTATAAAAGGATATACTGCTGGAATCTAGTTCTATTTGCAATATACTGCTTTTTTAAAAAATTGAAACCTCCTGAGATTGGCCTTTACTGACACAACATCTTGACATCAGCAGCACAGTTTCCATGAAAGAGCAGGTGTTTATAAAGAGGAGGAAATTAGGTCACTTGATAATTAAAAACAGAGAAAACAGCAGGAAGTAGAACTTTGGGAGGGGAATGGAATGGAAACTAACGTGGCATCTATGCCATTAGTGAGCTTGTTATGGCATCCAGATTCAGAGAATAGGCTCTCTGGGGGAAAAGCATATATACACTAGGGCAGGGAGTTTATTTATTTAAGTATGTATGTATTTGACTGCGTCTCCTGATGTCACCTTGAGAACCTTCTTCTGAGCACTTAGTCCCATTAGAGTTCCTTGCTGGGATGGAACTGTGTGAAAAGGAGAGGGGAGGTGTTTTCCTGAGTGCTCTTGTGTTTCCTTTGCAAGGCTCTCAAGCCACATCAGGACCAGCCCTCCAGCCTGGGGTTTCCTCACATAAAAGCAACTGGACCATCTCTGCAGGGAGCTGCTTTGTCTTCAAGAGGTGGACAGAGGTCTCTCCCAGATGTGAAGGCAGAAAAGGTAAGGAACTGTGCTCTGTGTGCTTTGCTTAGCCAGTGTACTGCCATGCTTGGTCCCTCCTACTGCAGTGGGTACTCAGCTCCAAGGTCACAAAGTAGGAAAGTGCAATGTCACCTTAGAGTTTGAGCATAGAATGACATCAAGGCCCCAGCCTCAGTGGACAAAACTGGGTGCCTGTTGCTGGGCAAAACATTTTTTTTAATTCTGTAAGAAGCACTAATGTACCTACAATGTATTAATTTGTCTACAGTAAAAATTTATTTTTAAAGAATTATCACTCAGTTCTGGGATTAAATTGATGGCCTCATGCATGCTGGTCTTGCTTTCCACCAGTGAGCTACAAACCAGCTGCACTGTAGTAAAATTTTAACAGAGGTTATGAGGAAAAATGTTGAGAACTTTCTGAGAGCAATGATGATCATGATGGTGATGATGATGAATTAAAGTGTTACAAATTCAACTACACAGCAGTTCCAGCAAAGTCGTTTTTATGGGCAACAGTACTGCAGGCTCAGCCTCCCATGCTCTGCATGAGCTGCTGTCTTCCCTGGGAGTGAGGTCATTTTTTTCTTATCCAGGGTCTTTGTGGAGACCACCACAGCCCTTTGGGGCAAGCATCCAAGGATCCTGTTTTTTTCCCTCAGAGAAAAAGTGCTTATGCATCCCCAAAGTGGTTCCACAGAATGAGATTCCCTAAATTTCTCCAAGCCAAGAGCAGCTTCAGGCTGGAGCTGTACACAGCTCCTCAAGGGACACTTTCAAGGCTGCTGACTGCATGTGGGACAGAGGCAGCCTTGTTTCTCTGCTCAGGTCACGGGAGAGTTCCGGAGCTGCAGTCCTGTCTTCAGGGAGCACACTCTACCCTCACTGACCAGGGCCACTGCCCTCTAGCCATGACCAAGGGGGACAGGTAGGAGATCATGGATGTCTCATGGGCACTGCAGGCTCTGAGGAGAGCCCTTCATCTGACAGCCTTCCCGACAGCCTCCTTGCCGCATCATAAATAAAACACGCAGGCTAGCTCTCCTTGGCTTCTGCTGAGGGAGCCCTAGAGAGGCTCATAGGGACCCAGGGACCAGCACCTGTGTGTGGTTCCCAGAACCTTTACTGGGTCGTAGCTCCAGGGCCCAGACACAGTTCCACCTTGTGTCCTTTTGCTATGAGGTCATTTGGGGCAGGCAGGAGATCCTCAGGAAACCTCAGGACAGGGTTTGTACCAAGTTCCCCCAAAATAAGGCCTTGTTGAATAATAATCAGCCTTGAAGACCAAAGATGGAAAACGCCAACCCCACCCAGCCTCTCCTTGCCATCCCTGCCTTACAGAGCAGCCAGCAAGAGAACAGTGATTGCGGGTGAGTCCATGATGGCCTGACTGGGGCTGGAGTTTGGAATTCTGGCTTTCTGGGCTGATTATTATCTAGGTAGCATCATTTTTGAAGACAGAGGATCACCTTTCATGGTTCAGATGGAGAACTCTCAGCTGCTCAGAATCAGGCTTCTGGGAGGTGGCTAGGTCTTGATATGCCCTGGTGACTTCCTGCGAGAGGTGGGATCTGGGCAGAGCAGGTCTTGGGGGTGGCAGGGATGGGTCAATTCCCCCGCCCGCTCCTCCTCCGTCTCTCTCTACTTCCTGTTCTCTGGAGGCAGCAGTTTCTCCTGTGGCAGGCCCTTATCCTTGCTGTGCCTGCCTGGGAGCTCCCACTGCAGAACTGAAGACCTGAACTAAATCCACCTGTCCAGCATCTTTCTATATCTTCTCTTTGAAGAAACACCCACCTGCACCCTCAGCTGGCGTTTGGGTTATTTACTGTGTTACTGTGTTTGAACCTGCTCCTTCTAAGACTGCTATTTACAACACTAACTCCAGGCTCCCGAAGCCCCTGACTCAGCCAGGCCTATCCCACACTGACTGCTGGTCACTGTCCTTCCTCATGCTCATGTCACCTTCACCCCAGGGACATACAGGACCTGGCCAGGTCCTCTCTGCTTATCGTGAGGCTGGGCTGAGGCAGAAACCCTGGACTGCGGAGATCACATCCAAGTGCCCAGCACTGTGTGCTTCCTTCCCACAGCTGCCACGTGGGTACTGTGACTGGTCGTTCTCCCGGTGGCCAAGGTCTTCACCAGACCAGGAGACACAGATCTCTGCTGTCCAGGGCACAGTGGCTGTAGGAGAGGAAGGAAGTGCGTGGTAAGTGGAAGTAAGCGCCTGGGGGCTGAGTTGGGAGGACTGAGAGGCCAGGGTTGCGGGGGCGGGGTGGGGGGTCAGAGGGGGTGCTGGGCCTGTGCTGTAACATGGGTGAGGAAAGGAGGCTTGAGGGGTGTGAGTCAAAGACCTGGGTGCGGGGAGCTGGGGGTCAGTTCCTGGTAGGTGAATTGCACTGAGCAGGGGTAAAAGCAGGTGAAGTAGGTGAGAAGAGCAGAAGAGACAGAGGAGGAGGAGGGAAGGATGCATGGGCTGGGCAGGTAACGGGGTGACTGTAGCTGTGCACACCTCCCTCCTAGGGGTCCCTCTCCCCAAGTGAGGTGGACCCTGGGCTTCTGTGCAGAGTGGCTGTTTGGCTCAGTTCTCAGGGCGTTGTCAGGTTAGGGTTCTGAGGGCTCCAGTGCCCTCAGAAGGCACTGTGGTCCAGGAGAGGATGAGCTGATACACACTCGCAGGAGGTCCAGGGACTTCTGAGTGGCCTGAAAAATGGATAACATGGACAGAGTGTCAAGGGGACCCTGGATTCCCAAGAGTAGCATGGTGCCGTGAAGGCTCTCACCTGGCTGAGGCGCTTGAATGAATGGAACAAGGGGCAGGCTGAACCTCAACCCTGTGACATGGAGACAGAGGAGAGGGGACGGGACAGTGAGGAGAACAATGACCAAAAAGGAGGGGCCAGGGGAGAGGGATGACCTGGAAGCCATGTGGTGCTCTCTCTCTAAGGGAAACAAGAGGGTCATCACACAGGTGCTGGGAGTCAGGACACCTGACGGCCACTCCTCAGCCCCCTGTTCTGGTCAGTGCCTTCCTGGCTCCATTGTTGGCTTAGCGTCTGAGCTGTTAGCTTCTCCTCTGCTTGGGGCTGTGTCCTAGGTCCACAGTGTTTGTACACAGCATCCGGTACACACATGTGCTGGAGATCGCCAGCTGACTAGAGACGTGAGGAGGCCGGGAGGACGCTATACCTGGCTCATCCCAGGTGAGTTTGTGCAATGATTCTCTCCACAGGGTCTTCACAGTGAAAACATCCCCAGGTCGAGGTGACCCACAATGGCCTGTTTTAATTCTACCTCAAGTCCCTGGAATAGGACGGATGAGAAAAGCTATTATCATGCTGCATACACCCAGGCCATGAAGATCATCTGCCCTCTTGGCATTGTCATCTCCCTCCTGGGGCTGGGGGGCAATGGGCTCGTCCTCTTCTTTCTGGTCTGTACTGTCAAGCGCGACAGCTTCTCTGTCTTTCTTTTTCACTTGGCCCTGGCTGATTTTAGCCTCCTCGCCTGTCTGGTAGTGGATTTTATGGGAGAAATATTTGCATATTTTCATAACATCTGTTTTCCTCTTCCATACTTGAACTTGTTCTTTCTCATATCCTACGTAGCAGGGCTCTGCTTGGTGGTCGCCATCAGCCTGGGCCGCTGCCTGTCCGTGTTCTTCCCCATCTGGTACCGACTGCACTCTCCGAAGTACACGTCCACCATCGTGTGTGTTCTGACCTGGGTCTGGGCCATTTCCATAAGTGTGCTGGGGAGAATGTTTTGTGACTATGACTTAATAGATAACAAACTTTGTGGACCACTTTTTAAATGGTTTTGTCTGTTTATCATCGTTATTCTGTCTGCAACACTACTGTGCACTGTGATTATGCTGCTGAAAATCAAGTGCAGCTCCCGGGTGCGTCCACCCCGCAAGCTGTACATCGCTGTGGCCCTCACAGCTGTGTCCCTTGTAAGTCTGGCCCTCCCTATGTTGGGACCCTTCCTCCCTGATAACCCCCACATCCCCTATGATAACAAGCTTATATCACTGTTCTCCTGTGTGAACAGCAGTGTCAACCCCTTGGTTTATTACTTTGCAGGGAGAATGGGGAGGCAGAGGCGCCACCTACGCTTAAGGGAAGTTTTCCAGAGGGCCATGGGGGAGGAGGTGGACCCCTCTTCTGGTGCCTCTGGTCACTCCACCTGAGGGTCAGTGCATGTGTTGTAGTGACCCAGCAGATTCAGCAGGGCTCCTAAGGGACTCTGCCTGTGCCTTCTGTCCCCAGCCAGGTCACAAACACAAGGGTTTCCAGTGTCTGCAAGCCCAGCCTTTCTCGCTGCAGCATTTGGTGCCTTGAACTTCCCTGTGTGTTTGGGACAGTGCGGGTCTGGCTCCCATTCTTTGTCTGAGCAGTGCTGTCCTGGATACTGTCCTGTCATATATCACTGAGCTTTTCTCACTATGGTAAGTATTTTCTTGCTTTCATGCAGGTCAATAAGCTGCTATGCTGACCACTTTTTACATGTATTTATCACAGCAAGTGAAAGGCGGCCTCTGTGCAGAGCATTTAAATCCACCTATGTTCCACCCTGTGGGTGCTCAGCGGGCTCCATGAGAGGCCTCGCTTTCCAGTGACACAGTGTGACCCCCCACCTTGCCTTCTGAACCCTACAGAGCTCACCCTTTGCACTGGTAACACAATCCCCTTGGAGGTGGAGTCCATGTGCTATGAGGAGGAAACATTATCCTTCATGGGAACCTCCCTGTTTCAGCCTCCCTCAGTGCACTGGACTGCTCAGCCTGTGCTGTGCAATTCTTCAGGCAAATGGGAGCCCATCTGCTTGGATCTGCCCTCAATGCCAGGGACCCATGGTCTTGTTCTTGAGAATGTACTGTGTTGTCCAAGTTAATAAAGCTTTATGTAAAGTTTTCATGTGTTATAATTTTAAGTCAATGACCTTCTTAGTCATTTTAGAAAATTTTCAAAGATAAAAACAGTGCTTTCTTAGAAATAGCTTACATTCATTGAGGAAGAATTTGTCATTTTATTACTACGTGGTTAAACCTAAGTAATCAGAGATCATCTTCCTAGATAGTATACATTCATATACACTTATTATTACTACAATACAGTTACTGAAGACATTTGGTGGGGCAGGGCTTCCCTATGCAGTTCTGGCTGACCTTGAACTCACTTTGTAGCCCAGGCTTGCCTTGAACTCTCATCCATCCTGCTGCCTCAGCCTCCCACGTGTTGGGATTACTTGGGTGTGTCTCCATGCCCAGTTGAAGTCTCTAAAGGAAATTTTCAAGCACTTTTTTATGCTATCATAAATTACAATCTTCAAAATGTGCTTTTGTTGTTGTTGTTACTCTGAAATCACAAAATGATTGTACTAGCTTCCATTCCTGCCAACAATATAGCGGATGGTGCTTCCTGCACCAGCATTCATTATTATTTAATTTATTTTTCTTTTTCATTTTAGTTGTTACTGTGTGTTTGTAGTGCATGATGTTTCCATTCCTTTCCTGGAGCTGGTGCATGTACAGAAGACATCTTAAGTCCCTTTTTCACCCCTTTTTCTTCCCATTTTTCTCTCTCACTCTGTACCTTTGTCCCCTTCCCCTTTGAGAAAGATCTGTTTTTCCAATTTGTATTATCTGTCTTCTATTTTGCTCTTTGTTTAAAGTCTGAGTTTCTCATGCAATGTTTCAGCTTCTGTGTCTGATTTATTTCACTTAACACGTTGGTCTCAAGGTGCATACATTTGCTTAGTGAAGCCTCAATTTTATTCTTCATTGAGAATTTTTAATGATTGCTAGTTTTTCTGGGATGAGATGGAAAATCACTGTTCTTTTATTTGCATTTCTCTGACAGTCTTGGATGTTGAACACTTTTTCATGTATTTCTTGGCCATTTGTTCTTCTTTTTCTTCTTAGAAACGTATTCATTTTAGTTATAACCACTTATGTGGAGATTTCTCAAAAAACTAAAAGCAGAAATTTCTTTGACCCACATATTCCCCTTCTGGGGGTCCCCCTGTCAGAGTTGAAGGCATTGCCTTACCACACACTGCCCGCCCATGCGCAGGCAGCCCTCAAAACAGCTAAGTCCTGGGGAGACCTGCCTGGCCCTCAGCAGCTGAATGAATAAACACAGTGTGGTGCTGCTGAGTACTGGTGTCCTCTGCCCCGAAGAAGGACACGCCTGAGGCTCTGGTAGGGACAGCGATGCGTCTGGAAACCATAACATTAGGTGAAAAAAGCCAGGCACACAGCTTCACTATCACCTGGCTGCTCTCACATGAGAAAGCCAACACAGAAGGAAAGAGCAGGATGAAGGAGAGATAGTAGGAAGCAGGGAGCTCTTTCTCAAATGGGAAAGAGTACAAGAGATGGAGGAGTGGGGAGGGAGATGAGGGAAACTGAAAACAATCAGAAAAAAGAAAGGAAATAGAGCTTTGGCACATGGGGAGAGGATGAAGGAGGAGTAGGGGAGGGGAGGAGGTGGACAAGAGGAATTAAGACGTGGTGAGAAGGTGCACAGTGAATGACATCATTATTAACTGGCACCTGTACTAATAAAATAGAAACAAGAGCAAATCACAAAATGAGATTCTCGTGCTCCCTTTTATCTGTGAAGCTTGCTGCACTCTCCACAACCCCAACATTGGCCTGCTGGCTCTTTGCCACCTCTGAGTCACACCACCATTGTTTCCCTGCAGCTCCCTGACTTCACCTCCCCAGCTCTGACTGTCCTGCTAGGTCTGTGCCCAGTGCTCAGTGCTGGAGGCCAGGGCCCTTTGCTTTGCCCAGGTTCACAGAAGCTCTTCTCCTCCTCATGCTGCTGGGCTGACTTCATCTGAGGACGGGGGGTGGTGGAGAGCGCGCTCGTGCAAACTTGGGAGACCGGCACCTCCACAGTGTCCTCAGTAGAGAGCAGGAGACTCCTCTGTCACCCAGGCAATGACCAGTGTGCTGGTGCAGCCCCAGTGTGTTTGAGAGGGTGGGAGGCAGACACCAGGGTTGCTGGTGGAGATGGCAGCCAGAGTCTTTGAATGCAGAGAAGGTGTGGGTTGCATTTCCTGGCTGCTGAGAACAACCCCTCAGGAAACATGACATAGGTGTCCCTGTAACATGTGGGTCTCACTTCCTGGGTGCTCACCTGGTACTGGGACTGCTGGGTTGTGCTGTGGTTCTGCATGTATCGTTTGAGGAACTTCATGCTGCTTTCTGTGATAGTCACACTAATTTCTATTCCCACCAACTGTGTAAGGCTTCCTTTTTCTCCACATCCTCCTCAATGCTTGCTATGTTGTATCCATTTGATTACAGCTATTCTTACAAAGGGAGGCAATAGCTCCTTGTGTCTCTGATTTCTGTCTCCCTGACAATTCATTAACATTGAGCCATTTTTTATCTGTTGGCTATCTGCATGTCTTCTTTTAAAATATATACATTTTGGTCTATGCCCTTTTGTGCGGCATTGGGGATTGAACCCAGAACCTACACACTAGCTACCTCCCCAATGGTTTTTTATTTTTAATCATGAGAGATGATCTCACTGAGTGTCAAAGTTATCTAGGTTGAATGAACTCAAAGTTGAGGTTCCCCTGTCTCAGCCTCTCAAAGTGTTGGAATTACAGATATGGCCACTATACCCAGACTTTATTGCCTGTTTTTAATTGAGTTATTTGTTTGAAGAATGGGTAAAGAAAATATGAGATATATATATATACAGTGGGATCCTATTCAGCCATAGCAAAGATGAAACCCTATCACCTGTACCAACAGGGATGGGCAGGGAGAGGATTTTGATAAGTGAAAGACTTATCTTCCAGGCCCTGAAAGACAAGTACTGTGTGATCTCACCCTGTAAGGGATCTAAAATGTCCTTGAAAGGCCCATGAGCAGAATGGTGGGTGTTAGGATTTTTCAGTGTAATTGAGAGATAAAAAGAGAAAAAGAGAGCAAAAGAGAACTATGGCAGACACTGGAGGGCTACAGGAGAGACACAAGCTCCCTCTAGGAGAACAAACAGCTGAGCAAGCTTGTGTCAGCTCTACATTTGGGAGCATCTTGGGGCTGGACAAGAGCTCCTGTTAGTACTGGATTGGAGATCTTTTGGTATACATGAGATACGAGGCTTAATTTGGGCTGGGGGAAGAAGAAGGAGGAAGTCTTAGGAGTTGTTGCTTTTGGCTCCTTTACCATGTTGGTCAGCCATTATGATGACTGGTAAATTTTACATGGGCCTAAACCCAATCATTCCATCTTTAGGTTGTTAAAGGGCAACAACTTTCTTCCTGGCTGCTTCCTGCTGAACAGGGGCATTGTGAGAGGGGCTATGTCAGGTCTCAGGACATCAGATAACTCCCATGTAGAAACTGGTACCATCATTGGTGAAGGCTTGTATCCTAGATTGGAGAAATCTAGAAAAAGCTTTAAAAAGACAAGGCACCTTAAGGACACAGGTCATCATCAAAGATTAGAGACCCAGGAGAGGTAGAAGAAAGGCTATGACCTCAAGGTGTCACTCTCCCAGGACCAGGGTGAGGAAGAAGAATATCCATAGTCTAGCTGTTGGCACTTTTTCTCTAGGTAGTTGGGGGGAATATTTACCTTGCCCATGATGATCCCTGGCTTATTCATGAAGTAACTACATTCTTCCCCCAGCACGGTACGGGTTCCCCCTTTAATAGTAGTTAAGACATCAAGGAGCATGGCAGTTTTGGAAAATAACTGCCACAAGCCTATTAATTTGGTTTTGTAGGGAGTGGCTAGAGATGGTGATGTCTTGCATTTGTTGACGAAGGTCTAGAGAGAGTTGATAATACAAATGGACTGCTGTGCCTATTCCCTCCCCCAAGGCCAGCTCCAAGGAAGGAGAGAATACTCACACCTACAGAAACTGGAACATAGACAGCCCTTGTCTCTTAGCTGAGGTAAGTATCCAAAAGTTGGGATAGAAAAGTGGTCTTCATGGCCTCTGAGAATTTACTGCCAAGGCCAGAACTAAAAGGATGAGGGTACAGGACCCTGTCCATTGGAGCAGAAGGCAGGTATAGGCCCCTGCTTTGCAGCCTAAAACCCAGCTCCAGAATGGGCAGATGGCTAGGTTTTAATTGAAAGTAATATTGTGAATGCAGTGAGGGAGATTTCTTATTTGGTGAGAGGAATCTGGGGACAGGGATACCAAGCAGGTG